CAAGTTACATACAGGGTTGAAGTTACCACCAAGAGGACAGTTACAGGGTCCACATTGGCCAATGTTTGATGCACTAAAGAACTTGTCAGAACACGGTAATTCCTTCTTGGTCTCGCAGTATTCACCTAAACAAAGACCAACAAATAAAGTAAACAAGTAAGTAGATAACCCAACTTTGTGATAAACCAGGAAGTTTTGGATCAGGAAAGGTATGATTGAAGTAGTCACAATAAAAGAATCACAACCAACCGTCGTACCTTGCGAGCCGAAACGCAATTTTAGGTGGACACGAAAATGGCGGATTCGTTGGGATTTCTTTAAGTGAGCGCGAATCGCCTTCCATCCTTTCAGTTTGGACAGAAATACCTTTTTTAAAACTAAGAACCTCACAGGTACTATCAATATATAATCTATTGTATGCTTGACGCATGCATTTAAACGTATGTAAACAATAACAAAAGCGCGCGCTGTATCATGGTTGGTTAGGATTCTTTAAGAATAAGCTTGCAAACTAAGGGACTGCGCAGTATTTATCAGGAGGGGAGCGGGGTTGAGTATCAAAGGGGAGGAGGGGGCAAAATCTAATTTTATGTGCTTAAAGAGGGGGGTAACGTCTACTAAAATTAGCTAGAACTTTAATTGACAAATACTGCGCAGTTCCTAATGACAAACATTGCGCCTGGCAGAAAGACAGTTCACTCACCTGCATACTTTTTCGGACATAAGCATTTGAATCCCTTTGATGACGATGACGTYTTGACACAAGARCCGTGTTGACAAGGTTTAAATCGACACACGTCCTTACATCGCTTACCCACGTGACCTGGCTTACAGATACACTTGTACGARTCCCAGTCCTCCACGCAYGTGCTTCCSCCGTAACACGGACTTGATTGACAGTGTGTGGGCATCTTACAGCCGTCATAAATTTCCGTCTTGGAGGCACCTTTGAGGTCAAGTTCTAAAGCATTGGCTGTTATACCTGGAGAGATTAGAATAGGTCATTTCTTGATTCCATAAAGGCAGATCTTTGCTAATTAGCATAATGTTTGAATGAAAATAAACTGTAAAATAGTACATAACGTAAAAGATGATGTAATAAACTACGAAAGTTTGAGGTCTTTACATGCGATAGTATATGAGATATTAGCGTTCAAAGAGTGGCAAAAGCGCTAATCAGCTCATATAATCTCTCTAAAAAAATTTAAAACAGTTTGACGCAAAAAGTATTCCATATGGGAAGCTAAAGATTGCGAGGAAAGCTTATTGTTCCACGTTGTTGAATGCTAATGATATGATAATAACCGAGATGTAAACCAAGTATTCGCCTATATGCCCTACATCGGCACTTAATTCCACATCCATTCAAGAGCCGTTGCGCGATAACGGGAATTGGCCATCTTTGGTTTTAAACCAATCAGAAGTCAAGCTTCAACAGGAGATCATTTGTGAAACAAAAGAAGCGAGCGAAAAGGTTCTCGGAGGCACATATACACCCTTTTAATAAGTCCAGAGGTATTGTTTTCTCCGCACTTGACGTCAAATTTATTCTTTTGAAATTTTTACAATACAAAAGAAATTCAAAAGAATAAATTTGACGTCAAGTGCGGAGAACGTAATACCTCGGGACTTATTAAAAGGGTGTATACCTTTCAATATAGTGTAGTAATGTACAAACCTGCTATACAACCAGTAAAACCATTGCTCGTCACYATTTTACTACCACTTTTATCACGCTTTGCACCAACAATAATTTCTGAAGTGAACTCTAGTTGAACCCCTGAGTAATCTTGTGAGGCYACGAACACGTAGTCAGCGGTAATTTTCACCTTATCCTTCTCCCAGGTGATTTCCACGTGATGCCACGCCCCGTCGTCGACTCGCAATTCTTTCAGTGTTATATTAATGGCTTTGCCGTAAAGATATGAAATTCTTCCGTCAACAATCTATAAAAAAAGGTTTATTGACAATACTTAGGTCAACATAGAAAAACACTTCAAAATCAGTTAAAAAAAGTAAATTGTTAGTCTTAATAGACTTCTGAAGCTTTTACGTAAAGYACTATACACGCAATGCATTGTAGGATATATATTGTGCTCACACATGGCAGATTTTTACCATGTTATCCAGAAACTGATCCCACAATGCATTGCAAGTCACGWAGGTAACGTAAAAGATTCGGAAGCCTATTTGGCGTTATGTAGACCATGTTGGTGGTTCATGGACAAAGTCATTTACCATTAATATATGCTGTTCATACAACCAATGTGACTGCTGTAATAGGCCTTTTGCATGAAACGGTGACATGGTACTAAATCCACCATACTGGATGGCAAAATACCCACTGGGATGTTCAAAACAAAGAAAAGTCAAGCTTGATGGGCTGCGTTCCTTTTGTTTTTGAGGTTGTTTACGATCTTTTGCCATCCAGTATGGCGGATTTAGTACCATATGACCGTTTCATACGAAAGACCTTTTTTTGTGCTCTTTAGAAAAACTAGCCGCAGGCGATGTCGCCGCAGGCAATGTTCATGGAGACGATAAAATTGCTGAGAGAAAGAACGATGATGTAAAACGTAATGTAATAAATAACACTTACCTTGAGTAATCCGCTGTCCGACCGAAAACGAGTTTCCATCAAATAACCTGTTGGTTTCCTGGTTCTAAGCTGAAGTGTCTGTCTCCATGGTAATGATATAGCGGGGGTTCGAAACGYCTTGACCAAAATACTTTTACCCGTGAGTCTTATCTCGGTCTTGATTTCTACAAAGATGATTTGAGCATGTTTATTACGTGACTAGCGTTCTCCGCAACCGTCTAACGGGCTTCCTGTGTCCCCTCTCTCCCTACTTTTTCYACAGGCAACAAAGCCCTACTAACAAACATGACCCTTACAAGACGTCATAAGGACAAAAAGTCATTTTCCTGGTTTGATAAAGGTTGCTGCATGGCTGAGCTTTAGTCGTAATCATAGTTTGTAGAGGGAAGTGGTTTGAAAGCCTTTTTGTAGGTTTTGGTGCACTTTTTTTCAAGCGTGACAGTGCACAATCTTTTGTTTTACAATTTTTTTTAGCCATACTGGTCACATCTGAATGAACAGAGCGAGAATCACTCACTTTTGACTATTTCTTCAGAATGAACAAAACATTTTAACCAATATTGAAATATTTCATTTCATAATCTCATAGTGGGTGTTTATGTTTAGTCATTTTGCAATTTCTATCGTCCGTAAGAAAAATGTTGTGCACGGTCTTTACTGATTCAACCTCAAAATACGTACAAAAGATGTACAAAAAGTACAACAAAAGGTTTCCAAACCATTCCCATATATTACATATGAATGAACAAAGCGAAAATCATTCTTAAAAAAAGTTGTGCACGGTCTTAACTGATCATTCAACCTCAAAATACATACAAAAGATGTACAAAAGAAGTACAACAAAATGTTTCCAAACCATTCTCCTCTATTAACTATATTGTAATCAATACCAATGACATTTATTCGAAATCTCAAACGTAACTTAAATTAATACCTGTTTCGCACTTCTTTCCACCATAACCCTTGGGACATGCGCAGTAGTACGTTCCCCACGAGTTCGTGCAGTTTCCTTTGTCACAAGGAGAGTCTCTACAGAAGTCTTGCTTGGCTTCACATTTAGGCTTCGTCCCTTGRATAAACTCGGGCTTTGCGAGGTCAAGAAGTTGATAGTCGATGTGAATATTTCTTATGCACCCGGTATAATGCACATTATTGATAGGGAACTCGGTCGACTGCGATGATGGKAGACCACCCAGTAATAATGGCCCCGTAAGTTCCATGGCTCTATAAAAAATGTGAGTTGGTAATTTAGGAAGTTATTCTATCTAATTGGTAATGTGCATCGTCGCCATTTTGTACGACAAAGCATGATTGGAGTTGTAGTCCTCCCACTTTTTAATATCCGCAAAAATAATCCCTAAAATCGGTTTTTCTGTTGTGTTGTGTTGTTACGTTCCATTGCGTCGCGTTTAGCGTTGCGTTGTGCTGTAWTGTGTTGCGTTTACCGTTGCTTTGTGTTGTAGTGCGCTGTGTTGCATGCTGCGTTGTGTTGTTATTAGAGTGGATTTCGTATGAGTGGGAAACGGACAGTACTGTACTGTGACCGTAATCGTACTGTAACCAAATTCTAGTGCCGCATTRGTTCACCAAAATTRTGCAGGCCAGGTCCAGTAACTGTGCGGTAATCGTGCGGTAACGGTGTCCCACTCATACGAAATCMGCTCTATTCTACCAAAAAAGAAACCTTTCGATCCATCCAAGGCACATATTTTGTTACCCGCAATTACATATTGGTAATGAYGAAATTAAAGCATAATTTCTAGAAAGCATTCTGGGTTTAAACTTTTCCATCACATATATGAACGATAGAACAATAACAACAAAGATTACCAGGAATAAAAGAAGATATCTTACCTATCTGCACGTTTAATTGTGAGTCTTTTTGCSGCTGCACAGGAGTATGATCCCTGTTGATTGCCTAACTGCACGGCCACGCCCAAGTCACACTCGTCCAAGATCACGATACCAGTCTGGAAAGGAAAAAAATACACTGGTCACGGAGAGARGTCTCTGTTGTCTGCTGTGTGGCTTTATTTATTTCCTAGACGTGTACATTATTATGATCTCGCGTAGAAGAGAGCATGATTGTTAAGCGCAGATAAAGTGCAGAGACTAATACAATACAATCAAATACTCATTTCTTTTTGAGAAATATTAAGTTGCCACTCTACTAGAGTAAGCAATTCGACTATTTTAAGTCATTATGACATCGTCTAAAGCATGATTTCAGTATTTGATTTGAATCGTTTATAAATTGTTCTTTGTAAACTCTTTAACGGTGGTTAAAGGTTATGCAGAAACTAAAAACCTTTTATATACGCATATTCGTGCAAATTTATTGCCTTCCCATACTTCGCGTTTCGGTCTTATATCATGCTTTTTGAACCCGACGTCTTTTCAATTAAGATCTTCTATAAGTGTTCTCCCCTAACTCAGTCTCCCAACGAGATCCTTACCACAGATAAAGGTTACATCCTGACTAATCAGGTAATTTGACCTATTCATTCAAAGTGCCTCTCCTTACACCTCCTACCCCGCAGATAGGAAAAGCGTAAGAAAAATCCCGCGGCAGTATTGCAATAGCCATTCGTTACCAATCTAACCACAAACGTACATAAAGGTTATATGCTATCCTATTGATGTCTGACCTTACAATTCAAACGAHAATTTTGTTGTGACTGGCCGCCGATTAGCAAAATGAACGATAATKCGGAACTCGGAATTGAAACATCTTTTGCAGAACAGATACTCTCACAAACACTAACACTTTACAAGGAAAGAAGCTTTACAAGCACTGAAGATGCTTTACGCTTGTTCTTAATCTGTTTTCTGACTTAATCGAGGAGTTTATCAGGAGTTTATGGTCAATAAAAAATGAAATAATAAAATGGTGATTCACATGATGTCGGAAAAACTAACATTTTCACTTTCTGCGGCACATTAAAAACCGCCCAAAGATCATATTTCAACACCACTGCAAACACCGAAAACGCCGTTTAAGCGACCGATCTCTTTGTTATATTTGAAGCTTTAGCACGTACACCAAGCCACAACGCCTTCAAAATATAAGGTTACACCAACAGAAAACTATCACACACTATGTAGAATTCCGCAATCTTGACCTTGTTTCTTGAACTTATATAAGTTCAATTCATTGTGAGCCACACGGAAAGCCTTGCAAAAAACTCTATTTTTAGCTAATTTTAGACGCCTTCGATAAAAACTAAATCCACAGTTATTTTAAAATAACGTATTGAAATAGCTTTAAGTCGTCTTCATGCTGCAGCTTCGGTTTTTTTTCATTTAAGCTCGTTAAAAACTTTTGGAAATTTATCCACGCATTAATGATTCGACAATCTATCCTTCCAACTATTACTTCATCCATTCAGTTTTCAATTGTTCCTGTTTTTTTTTCACCATCAATTCTTTAATATATCTATTCATTGATCAATCGATCCATCTTCTCGATTCCGTCATTTTTTTCACTTACATCAAATWGAAAAACGTTGTTGGTCTCAAGAAGGTGACATCATTGGACCTACGACCGAAAGGGATTCTGGGGTACTCRGAAATCCGTGATATTTGAGCATTAGTCGTGAGYATTTTTTTTCGAACTGAAAGATTGATAAACGCTTTTTCATGCTTTCATGCTTCTTTTCGGTATGAGCAATGATGATGCAGTTTTTTTAAAAATCAGAATTGTCGTTTTTCAATTATGTGTATCAAACCATTCTGGTAATCCAGTCATCGATCCAGTCAACCATCCATTAGTCTAACTAATTCATTCATTATTTCATCTATTCATTCATCCATTGTTTTAATTGATAACAGTTACCAATTTTCTGTATTATCAGAAAACATACCAATGTCCACCTACGTTCTATTAGCGTTGGCCTGAATGAGGAATTCAAAATTTAGAGATAAGATAAAAAAGTCGATTGTTTTYGTTCTAAAGGTAAACTGTTTTTTAAAGACACTAAGAAGAGCAGTATGTGCAGATTTTAACGAATAATAGCAGTTCTTATAATCAAGGACTGAAATTAGAATCACTTGTTCAGAATCAAAGCAACAAAGATCTTGACAAACGTTTCAAGCAAASAAAAGCAATTTAAACTCATTCAGAKGTTGGTCATTAAACCATTACAATGCAAAGTACATTTCAGTATTTGAACTACATCAGAACATTCGAAAGGTAAAAAAMCCTGATTCCAACCAGAGACCATTTTAATCTCACAAAGTGAAGAGTTAACCCTTCAAGCACTCTTTCAAGAAAACATTACAGGCAAAATCTAGTAGAGAAAAAAATATATTTGAAAGGATCGAAAAAATCCATTGCGACCAAAAACCATTAAAATGCTTCTCCGAAGTAAACAGTAAACTATTCAAGTGCTTGTCAAGAAAAGCATTCAAGAGTTCCCCAAAACAAAAACAAATACAAACAAAAATTCCCAACTCATTAACATGGCGAAAATTGGGCTTAATATCCCTTAACTTACTATAAAAGAAACAATGTAGTTCATGAAAAGAGTCAACATAGTTGACATGGTTAAATATCTAAAGCATCTCAATCAGTCTAAGAACGATCTTACGATATGTCGAAATCAAAACACAGAGTTCAAGATGACATGATCTTCGGTGCAATAATACCCCTTAAATACATCTATCACTGTCAACATTTAATCAAAGATACGCAATATATGTCAGATAGCTTGTCTATAATCGAATATAAATAAACACAATGGAGAATGTACTTGGATTAGATGAAAGATAGGCTTAGACATGAGCGAAACGAGACGTGTTTGTTTTTATATGAAATTGTAGCGATAAAGGTATAGAAATTGGGCTACATCGTATGTATATCTCCACGTACAAATGAAAACAACACGCAAAAGCAGCAGAAACGGACATGAACAAAGATACAAACCCAAGAAAAACATGCAAAATGTAGTAATAACAACAGCAACGACAACAACAGTGACGATAGCAACAACACGGACAACAACAACATCAATGATAACAGCAGCAGCAGTAACAACAACGACAACAATGACGATAGCAACAACAACAGCAGCAACACGGACAACACGTACAAAACCGCCACCAGCGACAACAACAATTATAACAGCAACAACGACAGCAGCAACACTGATGACAAAATGTACACCACCACCAACAACAACAACAAAACAACGATAACAACAACAAAACAACAACAACAACAAAACAACAACAACAAAACGACAACAACAACAACAAAACAAAGATAGCAACAGCAGCAGAAACACTGATAACAACAATAGCAGCACTGTCAACAACATTGTAAAAACACACTGACTAAGTACCGTCACCTGGATATAACACCAAACAAAATATACAAACATAAACAAACGTCAGAAAAAAAAGGAATAACAACGGAATACCATCAACCTGACTAACCTGGTTTTTATAAATGGCTGTTACCGTGTGCCACGTTCCATCGTTCACACCTCCTATCATATCAGTTCTTGCAATTGCTACATCATGGTCAGTACTGACTGTAAATTGCACTTGCCCCTTAACTATCTCGATAGCAACGAAATCTTCCTTGTTGTTATGGCGACCATTGTACAAGAGAATGCCATCAGACTGTATAGTGGCAAATTGAAGTTTGATGTGGAAACTCCATTTCTTCTTTAAAGCTGAAAAAAGAAGTATTTGCATTTTATGCATTCCATAGACCTTAATGGCGAACGAGTCCTTGCCCAAGGCAAGCAAAAGCTCGTAGGTGATGCTGGTTGACCATGTTTCTTTGATAGGTGGACCCTCAATGGGTAGGGTTTCACTTAAATACCCAATAAGTACCCCATACCCCTCTCCAATAGCTTACTAGAGAGCCTGAGCACAACTTACCTGGGAATGCCGCGAAGTCCCCATCCTTAAAACTTCTGGTACTAAGTTGACAGAACGGTGTATCAACAATGGGTTTGTCCTTACAACCGCACTTAAACCCACCAACTCCGTCATCCAGGCAATAACCATCATTATAGCATGGGTTACTAGTCAGTTGATTTGGTCTAGGTTTCTCTTTCCCGCTTGGAGGGCACGAATTAGTGGAATTACTCTCACAATATCTTCCCATTCTGCCCTTTAAGCACAGACAAACGAAGCCCTTCTCGACACTGACACACTTTCCATTGTTCTTACAAGGGTTTGAGAAGCACAGGTTAAGGTGGGTATCACAGTCTTTCGGCTCTCTGAAATCCACTGGGCATGTGCAGTTGTACAGCATTTCAACAGGTACGGTCCGGAAGACAACTTTAGGTGAGCTAAGAACTGTGGGATTGCCTATGAATCTGGTAAAAGTCATACAATCTCTGCGCATGCTCGGTGCAGAGTTACAAGGCTTTCGGTTGCATAAATCATTTGGGATTGGTAAGAGATTGACACCAGCGTCTTTCGAGATTTCCTTGCGATGTATGGAGATGATGTTACGGACGTAATCCGAGCCGAAGAATCCATAATATCGGCCCTTGTCGTCTTTCTTTCGAACCACGAGCCAGATTATCAACTGCGTTTTATCGTATTCAGTAATCTTTGTGGATTTTATAATGCGTGATTTGATGTCAAACAGTAGGACTTGGTCCATTGTAAGACCTAAACGCGACGCTATACTTCTAGCGAGCTTATCATATGCGAGATTTAGAAATTCCTTCACTGTCATGTCGTCAATTTCAATTTCAAAACTGTTTGATAGCATTTCTGTAGTAATTGAAGTCACCATTATAGATCCTTTGGCCCTCGCACTTTTCTCGCCGTCCGAAACTTTGATTAAAATCTCGGCTGGTTTCCGAGCGTTTACGAGGGTGGGGCTAACAGAAAGGTACCCACTT